ATTGATCTTGTGCTAGGCCTTTCATCTGAAAATGATGCTAATTCATATGAAGACTTTGTTAACCAACTTCACAACACGTTGCAATTTTCATATAAAACGGCCACTGAATCGGCACAAAAGGCAAGGCAAAAACAAAAGAAATCGTATGATGTGAGAGCGACTGATTCACCATTGCAAACAGGCGACCGCGTGTTAGTGCAACGCAAACACATTATTGGGACGCAGAAATTAGCCAACAAGTGGGAATCTGTGCCTCATATTGTTGTCTCTAAACACCCGGATGTACCCGTGTATACAGTGTCAAATATTATTACCGATAAACTTAAAACGCTTCATCGAAACATGCTAACAAAATGCATGTTTCTTCCTATCGACAATGAAACCGACGAGGACGCGTCTTTTGTCAACGACACTTTCGCAAAAGAGGGGGAAGGGGAAATCTTATAAATAATGACAGTCCCTCGACAAGTAATGATGTACATATAACAACTCCCATTATTGAACAGCGGTCAACCCGTAACAGGAGACCTGTAGATAGGTTCAAGTACTCTGCTCCCGGACAAACCAAAAGGCACACGGTAACTAAACAAAACAATACTCATGATATCTTACCTGCAAACAACTCTAAAGATAACGATTCTTCCCTGATCCTCAAAGAATGTCTTAATAGAGGTAAAAAAATATTTAAAAAATGGCAGCGTAAGAAAGAAAAGAGAGATACGTAGAGACCATCGTGTATATTTATGATGGCATAGACTTACTGTAAGTGTAACTTGATTTTTGATTTATGAACACATTTTTAATTATATAACAATCAATACACTTTTACGTTTTATTCCAATTTAATCTTGTATTGCACAATATTTTGCTTTATTTATCGAAGTTAAGAGTGTTCATTACTGCTACATGCATATTACGAATTTGAAGAGTTTTAATGTGAGTTTATCCATTTTCATTTGAACATATAGTTATATTATAGTTAAGTATTTCAGATGACGGATTCCTTCCATTTTTTAAATTTTAATTTAGTTTAAGCAGTCAATATGCATATGTTAACTTTTTATTGCTTTCGTATGTATTTTAAGTTTAAGTTTCTTTTTATTATCATTTAAAAAAAAAATGCATTTATCTACTGCATTTTCTGATATTTTAATAATGTAGGCCTACTTTGTTGTAAAGAAATGTCAGGGGACATTTTCTTAAAAGAAGGGTGGATGTGACATGTGTCATTTATCTGATTTTACACTTTTCCACTCTCTACTTTATCGAAGGTTATTTTGTTTCCAACCCTATTGAAGAATGTGGCAGGTACCACATAAATTACCGTCCAAAGACAATGTAGATTGGTGTGGGTCCAGTCTATGTCTACCTTACCCTATGATTAGTGTGCCTGTTATAGTGATTAGGTGGAAATTCTTTGTTTTAAAAGTATATATGATGAGTTGAGCGGTCAAGTGACGATTCGCAGTCAGGAACTTGATGAATAAACACCTCAGCTAC